ACCTTTGTGAAACTTTAAAGAGCTCTTGAAGAAACTTTGAGATGTCTATGCCACTGCCAAATTTGGCTGAAACCTACTAAAGCAGTTGAAATTGAATTGATAGAGTGATTACACAAGCTTTCTTTCCTTTGGAGAGTAGGCTAAAATCCCATTAACAGTCTTACTTATGTCATCCCGTCATTCCTATTCTTCATTTAAAAATAACAATTATATTCTACTGCATTAGCTTATGTAACCCACCCCTGAGCCAAAGTAGTTAAAACTTTCATCCTGTATTTATTAATTTATTTAGTTAGTGTGTGTGCCTTTCTATACTTGTCCATTTTAAGGTACTTGATGTTATGAAAAATACAATTAAGAAGATCAGGAAACCAAACCAAATGCACTTCACTAATAAATATCCCCAAAGTTTCTGGACTGGTATCACTGCAGGCAAGAAATGAACTGCTTTTTCTCTAGCAAACTGTCAGCTGTTCTCATGGTTACGGTTCTAGGAATTTGGAATGACAGGTCACAGCTATGAAAATGAGTAGACTTATTTGGCATGTTTCTATCTAGTAAATAACATTCTCCTATAAAGAGGACTAGAGGCTGCTGTACATTATCATGGTGTTTATTCTCTGTGAAAACCACTCTTTAAAGTCTCTGTCCCAACAAAGAATGTGCTAACCAGACTTCATACTTCTTAAAACTGCTCATTCACAGAATGAAGACAAAAATACATAATTCTTGTATCCTCTCCATTACTATAAAGGCACCACTGGTGTTTTCACTGCAAGATTCAGCTATGTATATACACCTCCCAAGGGCACGAAGCAAGGCTACAAAAGTATGCTTCCCACTTAAATGCAGGAATGTTAGTTTTTGCCACAGGGTAAAATCTATTCTGCCAATTGGCTATTTAAAAAATAACCAATATTTCTTCTTTTAAGTTACTGCCAAGAGTTACAAAGCTCCAAATATGTCATTATGCAGTTTCCATTATCACAGCTTTGCACCACTGGTTTTCACAAACTCCAAGTTGAACAAACAGGACAGCAGAACAGGCTTCCCTCATACTTGCATCCCTTCACTGTTGGAAGGGTCTTCTTTCAGGAAAGCCAGGACAGCCCAATTTCAAAGCCTCCGCTAATTACTGCAAAATGGCATGAATAACTTATGCAGAGAAACTGGAACACCACCCACTGAGCTGCTCTCAGAGGTGGGCCCGCCCAGATGCAAAGAGTCCCAGCGGAGCAGGGCGGGGACTGCACTGTCACCATCGGCCCCAAGGCATTCACTGCCCCCAACACTCCAGGGACATGCCCACGTACTGTGCTCAAGAAGAAACAAAAATTTAACATCATCATCATGTGCCAATCCATCCAACCCCAAATGCTCTGTGAAATACTTAACTGAATCACTCATCCTCTTGGAAAGTTGTTTGCCATGTGAACTACCAAGGAGAGCTTTTCTCCAAGGAATACAGTCAGAGACAGCACTCCCAGGCATACCATCCTGGGACTGAAGGCCTGATACCTCCAGGGCAGCAAGCCCTGGACACAGAGGCTCCCCAGCTTCCCATCTCACACACAGTCCTGCACACGTAGCTTGACAGCCCCCAATATTTCAGACTCAGCTGGGTCTTGATCTCCAGATCAACAGTAGAGAGGCCTGGGAGGGCCTTCTTCAGCTTAGGTCTGAAGTTCCTGGGTCTCCAGATGGAAGCCTTGAAGCTCTGATAACAGGAACATTATCAGAACTTCTACTCCCACAGTTGAAGACCTGGGCAAGTTTCCAAGGTCCCTGGTAGGCACTGGGGAGCCTGGTAGGCTTGACAACCCAGCAGTTCTCTGAGCATTGGTCTCAGTTTAATCATAAGGCGCCAGGCTCCAAATTGACTTCTAACATTTCCAGACAAAAGTCTCAGGGAATTCCCCAATACAAGAGAAATTTTAAAATGTCAAAATTTCCCATGAATTAGGAAACAGAAACTTTGGCCCACCTCTGATTCCAGTTTCCTTCAGAAAAGTCTCTATGCTTTGTGTTCTACTCTTAGAATAAGCCTTCACCTATTAAAATACACTGGAAACAATAAATAGAAACAAAATCTTCCAAATTGCCTCTAAATAAAATCTTCAAAATAGAAAACCATTCCACAAGTTATCCTAGAATCTGTAGTTACTTTCACTTGCATGTGCATGCCTTGAACCCAAAGCCTTCTACTCTAAAATAAACATTCATCCTGCCTCAAGATTCACGAGTTGAAAGGATGCATCCTGTAAAGCTGAACCCCCAGAGGTTCAAAGCATTGACTCCAACTTTGGCACCATATGAGGTCACTGTTTGCTGAGGAAATGACTGGACAGCATTGTCCAGTACCAAAAGACATCAACCACAAGAACTGTCCTGGATGCCTCCAGGTACTGGTGAGCAAACAGTGCAGCCACCTGAGATGAAGGGCAGTGCACCTGACCACAGGAGAAACAGCAGATTCCTGGGACTCGAGCTCTGGTGGGTAATGCAGCAAGGAAGGGAGGGATGAACCCTGTGAGAAGTCACTGAGAAGGTGAGCCCATTTAATTTATTAGGTAGTGCCATGAAGTTCTGCTGGTCTGGAGTCCTAGGTACCAGTCCCTGCTCGGGTTTGACAACTTGCCACAGAAGGGACAATGAGATAAAGAAGATCAGCCACAGTGCAAGCTCCTGGGCACAGTTTGCCCCATCTTCCTCTACACTACAGGTATGGAAACATAACTCAGTCTTTTAAAACATCAAGTATTTCACTTGAGTTGAGGGAATACTTACTTTACCAAGGAGGAATTAAACAGTCCTGCAGCTGCACTAAACTTTGGAAAACTGCAAAAACTTTTTCAAAAACTGAATTATTATAATATTATCGAAGTTCTCATTTCCCCACACACCTAAGTGAACAGGATGGTCTCTCAGAGTTTTAAACATTTATAATATGGATATTTTTACTTTATCTATAAATCAGTGTTAGAGATCTTCTTCTTTTAATATTCTATTTTCTTGTAATTAAAAGGTGACTATAAAGACTTCCTAAAAGAAAGTAGTAGCACTCACATGATACATGCATGTCAGACTACAGGGAAGGATACAGCCCCAATCATTTAGGTCTCAATATTGCATTCAGTACCAATGACTTCACAGAATCAGAAGCATAAGCTTTGATGTAGCACAGCTTCTCATCTGAACAATCAGTTTTGCTTCAGTCCATATTCACAGACAGTTTAACCAGCTGCCACGATGCCATCTCAGAGTTCTCTTGCTGCTGAAGCATCATCACTTAATTCTTGCTGCACACATACTGCCATAGCAGGGATAATGAGTCAAATGATCCCATGGCCTTTTATTATCTTTAATTTCTGTTCTCCTGCTACTTTCACAAAATTGCATAGCATGTCTTTTAGAAAAGAAAGCAAAACAACAGTGATTTTTTTCGTGCAAACCAGATTCTGTCTCAGAATCAAAAGTACAAACTAAGTATTATTATTACAGGTTTCTTTATACTCAAAATAACAAAATACAAAACCCATTTTTTTTTCCTCTTCCAAAATCAGGCCACAAGTTGATGCAAACAAAACCAATATTGTACACAGCATTTTAGTTCCTGTACTATGTGTCCTCTAAAGTAGTAAACCCACAATTACCATGAGAAAAGTCCAGCTGGAGGTATCACCTACAAGTTGCACTACTTCTTCTTTATACCTTTTTAATCAAAGCATATGTTCTGCTTGAAAACAATTCAGCACCAATGAGTTGGCAGTAGAACAACAATTTAAGCAGCAGTGTCAACGAAGGTGGGAGGGGTAATTCACTAAAGCTACATTTTTCAGGTACAAAAGCCTGAGAAGCATGCTATATGGAGTCAAAGAAATATACACCAAAGATGGTGAAAAAGCAGCTAACTATATGCCTTTGAAAATGCACTTCATGGATGAAAGCTGCCAAATTACAGAGGGGATTTACTGAGAAGAATGTGTTGCTGCCAGAATGGACAAAAGCATGCATTCTATCCATTCCAAGCCCCTCCCCATCTCCTGTCATGCTCACAGCAAGAAGTGGCTCAAAAATTGACAACCACAGACTCCAGGACTGAAAGAGACAAAAAATACCTGCTGGGAAATGCCTGGTAATTTTTTTTTTTGAGCATCTGACACAGGAGACTGGAAAAAAAGAAAAAAACAACCCACTTATGATCAAAACACATCTCCCCATATTCTTGGGACGTAAAGTACAACTCCACAGCAGAAAGAAACAGCGCACACCTGGCCGGGTTTTGGAGGAGCCCACGTGCAGAAGCGCTTTTCCAACAGGCACAGCAGCACACTGCTGCCGGCCCAGGACAGGAGTTTCGCGGAGCTTTCCTGGAGTTGGGTCACGGAAACCTCACTCCAAGTGGGAGCATCTGCTGGCCCCTGAGGAGCCGGCAGGCGCCCGGCTGCCCGGCCAGGGGCAGCGCGTCCCGGGCGAACCGCGCACCCCGCGCCCCTACCTGGCTGGTGTCCTCGCCGTGCTCCAAGTGCACGATGCCCTGGCTCCTACACTCCGTGTCGCTCAGCACGTCGTCCTCCGAGTCCTCCAGGAGGGACGAGGAGCCGGTGGAGGAGACCGAGGAGTTGGAGAGCCGGCGGGACTGCAGGTGCAGCGAGCTGCCCGTCCTCAGCCCGCCGCCCTCCGGCCGCGCCGGCCGCGCCTGGGGGCTGCCCTGCGCCTCCTCGCTCTCCTCGGCGGTGACGGTGAGCCGGGGGATGACGGGCGGCAGAACCCCGTTCGGGGGTCGGCAGCCCCTCTTCGGCCGGTCGGGCAGCTGACGAGCGGCGGCGGCGGCGACGGCGGCGCAGCGAGCCTCGAAGAGGGAGCAGAGCTCCCCCACGGTCAGCCGCTTGGCCCGGCTGAGCTCCGGGCTGCTGTGCAGCCCCGCGCGGGGCTCCATGGCGGGGTCGGCGCCGGGCGCCTGCCGAGCAGCGCTCCAGGACCGGCGGCCGGAGGCGCGCATGGGGGAGCGCCGCGCCGCCGCCGCCGCCGGGGAAACTTCTTTGTGGCTCGGTCAGTCTCCCGCGGCTGCCCGGAGCCCGGCGGAGAGGCGCATCTCCAGCCCACCCTGCCCGGGCAGCTCTGAGTCACCCGCGGCGACAGCCGGAGGCTGCTACCGTGCCCGCTGACCCGGCGCCAGGGCCATGGGGGCGCGCTGAGCCCGCCCGACCGCCCGCCCGCCGCCACCGCCCCGCTCCGCCTCGGCGCTGAGGGGAGGAGCGAATCCAATCGCATCGAGCCGAGTCGAGCCGCGCCGCGGGAACCCCTGCCCGCCCCTTCCCGCCGCCTCCACCATCATCATCACCGCCCTTTTGCTTTCGCTTTCCCTGCGGCGGCCCCCGGGGCGCGGCCTGGGGGTGTCCCGGTGCCCGTCCGGGTGTGGCGCCCGCCTTACCTCCGCCCGCCGCCCCTCACCGGCCGCGGCTCCCGGGCACGGCGGCTGCGCAGC